GTCTAAGTGCCTGCTTGCCAAGCTCAAGGTTCTGGGTTCAATCCCTGGTACTGCTAAAACCAGGTGTGGTGGTGCACGCTGGTAATCCCAGATTTGGAAAGGCTGAGACAGGAGGATCAGTACTAGTCTGAGCTGTGTAGCAAGACCTTGTTCCAAAAAATAAATGATTTTTTAAAAAATAAATGCAATATTAAAAAGGAAATGTTATTAATAAACTTATCCCTATAAATTCAAAAATCTGGATGACATGGACAGATTCCTTGAGAAACAAACCTTTCAAAGTTTACTCAGATAGAAACAGATAAGCCAAATAGTTCTGTATTTACATTGAATTCATTAAATCTTCCAAATCATAAAACTTGAAGACTAGTTTCCTTGGTATATGCTTCAAAATATTTAAAAAGAAATAAGATCAATCACACACAAACTCTTCCAGGAGAGAAAAAGGAGATAACATTTTCTAATTCATTTATAAGACCAGTCTTATAGGAAAACCAGCTGAAAACACGACAAGGAAATAAAACTTCAGATCATTATTTCTCATACACATAGATACAAGAGTCCTCAACAAATATTATTAGCAAATTGAACCCAGAAAATACAAAAATGAGAAACCATCATTACCAAGTGAGTGAGGGTGCTTCTGGGTATGCAAGTTTGTTTAAGAGACTAACGTAAACCAGTAACATTTACCACATGTAGAAGGTCCTAGGTTGGATCCCAACCACTTGTGAGAAAAAAAAAAAAAAAATCACCATAACAACAAAAAGAGAGGGAAAGAACACATGATCATCTGAGTAGAGAAAGAAAACACATTTGACAAAATTCAAAGTTCAACATTCATTTACACTACCAAATTTTAACAATCTAGGAATTAAAGGAAACTTCCTTAACTTGATAAAAGGGATGAGAGGGGGAGGAATTCTGACATCATATTTAGTGAAAGATTAGTAGCAATCAAAAATAAGGCTGGATATTTTATTTTATACTCCTATTTAAAATAGCTAAAAAAATAAATTAAACTCATCAATTGTAAGAGAAGAAATGAAACTCATACACATGACTGTTTATATAGAAAATCCAAAAACTATTAAAAAGTTACTTATGACTGAACTCAGTAAGGTTGTAGGATACAATGTCAGTACACATAACTTAATTATATTTCTATTCCAGTTGACTAATGAACTGGAAATTGAAATTTTTACTGTACTATTTATAATGGCATTAACTTCATTAAATACATATGCACAGATTTAGTGAAACATGCAAGATCTGTATGATAACTGTAGAACAACTGAGAGAAGTTCTTAAGTAAATGGAGAGATATAACATATTTATTAGAAAACTCAGTTTTTGTGAAAATTCAGTTTTGTGAAGACATCAATTATCTATTAAACTGCTCTATAAATTCACTGGAACCACATTAAAATCTCAGCAAAATATTTTCTTTCTTTTTTTTTAGAGATTGACATCCTGATTCTAAAATGTAAAGCAGGTCCAGTATGGTGGTACATGACTGTAATTCCAGCACTCAGGAGGCTAAGGTAGGAAAATCATTGCAAGTTCAAGGCCAGCTTGGACTACATAGTGAATTCAAAGCTATGCTGAACTACATAGTGAGACCTTGTCACCAAAAAAAAAGGAAAAAGGAAAAAACTACAACAGTCACACAAATTTAGAAAATTCACACTATCTGGTTTCAAAATTCACTATAAACAAAGTCTCACAGACACCCAGATTAACAGAGATAAAAGCTTTCCCACACAGCTAATTGATTTTTAACAAAGTTTATGACAGTTACTTTGTATTCTCCTTCTCTTCTGTCCTCTCCCACTTCCTGCCTCAGTGCTGTTCTACACAACAGATGAGGTTCAGCGTATAAGCACATTCAGTTATCCCATGAAACAGAGCCAGGCCTTGGATAGACAGTGGTTTTTAGCACCTACTGAGTATGAACTATCATTATTTTGCTCCATGCTATTTGTTCATTACCAAAACTCTACACAAAAAGTCTGTATCATTAAAAATAATGACCATTTAGGGAGCATTTCCCATGTGCCAAGTACAGTAGTAAGCACTCTCAATACCTGATAAAGGAGCATATTCCCCTCTAAAATTATCCCCTCACCTTATATTCAAGACATTTTGATGTGCTCATATTATATAGGGTTTTCTGTTTTTTGAAAAACAATATACCACTTGAAGACAAATTAGCCTAAACTAATTCAATCATGTTAATTTTAGTTTACAGAAATCACTTGATAGTCTATTTTTATAAAATAAGAAGGACAAAGAAATGTAACCTAAGCTGGGTAGGTACAGTGGTGCACACCTCTGGCCTTAGCATTTGAAAGCAGAAGGATCAGTTGAGCCCAGGAGATCAAGACCAGGCCAGTAAACTTAGCAAGATCCTGGCGCACAAGTGAGCGAGGGACAGAGACAGAGACAGAGAGACAGAGACAGAGACAGAGAGACAGAGACAGAGAGACAGAGACAGAGACAGAGACACAGAGACAGAGAGACAGAGACAGAGACAGACAGAGACAAAGAGCAAGAGCGAGAGCGAGAGAGATTTTCATACAACTGCTAGTGATGGAAAATTTATAAATAAGCTTTATAAAGCTTTATTTTTTTAAAGTAGCACAGAAAATTGTTGTGCTTTGGAACCACAAGTATCCTGTTACAGAAGAAAAAATATACCTACATATTTAAGTGTTAGTACTTAAGAATGCAAATAAAATTCCCAATGCCAACATCACAAATGGATTCCAAAAGCCCCATGTACTGAATATCCCTAAGGAAGTAAGGACACCAAGCTCTGAGAAACTAGTTGGAGAGACTCAAGAAATAACTCTCATGAGTTAGAGAGGCCAAACTAAAGTCTGAACCAAAGCATCTTGTGAATATTATAGTAATATATGAGACGCTTGTATTTCAGACCACACTAGCTAACCAAACAAGGTAGACCTTATGTGTATACAATATGCTACTTCTATCATTTAAATATTATGTGTAGTCAGTCCTCCACAATGTGGTCTATATCCACAAATTTAACCCACCATGGATGGAAAATATTCATGAAAAATATTGAATTTATACTAAACATGTACAGATAATTTTTCTTGTCATTATTTTCTAAGTAATACAGTACAATAGCTATTTATGTTGTGTTAGATATTATAGTTCCTCTAGCAATGATGCAAAGAGAATGTAGGCAGGAGCTATGTAGACACTGTTATTTCATGTAAGGGTCGGTCTGGAGCATCTGATTTGGTATCCTGGGTACTTAAGAGTGACACTGTATCCAATTAACCATTAAACTCCCTCACTAGAAAAATGGAGGCTTGTCTTTCAGCAGAGTCACCTTTGATATGAGCCCATGAAAATTCTTACACTGTCCCAGGGCTGTAGCTATCACTTCATTTTATAGGTAAGTGGAGTCTACCAAGGTAAGAAGCTTGTCAAAGCCAAATAGGTGCTGAATGCAAAGTGCCCCAAGGCCACCTGACCTAAGTCTGGGTCTGAATCACGTGCTCCAGCGCAAGGCATAACCACCTGCCTTTGCCACTTGCCCTGGTGGTCCAACACGAGAAGAGTAGACCTGCCTTGAAAGCAAAATCCACTTGAAGAAGCTTCTCTGCTCAGATCATACCTGGACAGTTCTGTGCTCTTCAGAGGCAGCAAGGCCTCAGCTACACCCACGAGTTCATGACGCGGGCACAGAACATCAGAAAGCTCACACTACAGGAGCCCTCTGATCCCCACCACATGGAGACACAGAGGACACTCGCCCTTTACCCGCCATGGACTTGTTCTAAACCCCCAGGATAGCCCTAACGCTGGAGGGAGTGCTGACCCCACACATACTATATTTTTTCATGATAAAGTTCAATTTATAAACTAGAAATGGTAAGAGATTTACAACAATAAGTAATAAAATACAACAGTATACTCTTCTAAAAGTTATATAAATGTGGCCTCTTTATTGAAAGAGGCAAAACATATAATACTTTTGGACTACATTAACTATAGGTCAGTATAAATAAGGAGGTACTGCTTTATACTGGAAAGATAAAAGGAATTAAAAACAGACCTAACCTTATGATCTATCTTGATAACACATTTCTTAAAGAAGCTAAAGAAATTTTAGAGCCACAAAGACCGAGAACCTCTATTTCTTCTATTTTGACCTTAATCACAGAGCATAGCTGACTATAAAACACGCTGACTATAAAACCTTTCTGGTTTGCTCCCAAATTCTCATTCAGAATATCATCCTGGAAGTAACATGAAATGTACCACTCACAGAATACAAAATATCAGGAGGGGTAGTAGGAGTAAGGATCTAAGTTTTAGGTCAATTTACTTAAACCCTGAAGCCCTTGCAGAAGACTGCTATACTTCGGGTTCTTAGGACAGCAATGCCTGAGGCACAGGACCTGCAGGATGGATTTCTGGGAAGGTAACAAGCTCCAACCTAGCCCCCAAGCTGCCCCAGGTCTCCTGCAGTTCAGGTAACAGTGCCTGTGAGGATTCCTCTATTTAAGAAAAGTTGTTGGAAAGGTTAAACTCAAGCAAAAGGTTTTCTTTTAGGAGATTTCTTTAAGCTTTTTATTATATGTGAGAACAAGAATATAATCTTTCAGGCCAGGAAATTGGCTCAGCGGAACAGTTGCCTGCCTGGCAAGCGCCAAGTTGTAAGTTTGCTTCCCAGTACCATCACCAACAAAAAGAGTACAATCTTTTATTTCTGAAGCTGATAAAACCTGTGTTAGCAGTCCAAAATATCTATTTTTACTTAAAATTATAACATCTCTGAGATATAAGCTTATCAAAATAGTTTGCTGAGAACCTCAATGGGGATGTTTTGAGAACCCTGCTTCCTGCCACTTTGAGGCTCACAATGTCCACACCACCCCTTGCCCTTTATCTTGCCCTGAACTTCCAGATAGAAAGGAAGCAATCTCCACTGCAGGCTGGGTGGCGATGTCCCTGCTCACCTGAATGTGTATGGCTCCCTCTACTGCTTTCCCAAGGTGGGAGCAGCCACTGATGAGCGACAGCTGCTGTTCCATATTCAGGGCACCTTTCAGGGAACCCGACTGCTCCAGCAACTTCATCTCCTTTCTTGGAAAGAGAAAGAGTAGTCACTGTAAGTAATCATAAATAAATTTAGAATAAAAGCTCAATGACTTCTTATCAGGGGGATGCAAATCAAAATCACAATGAGCTACCAGTTAACCCATTAGAATGTTATCCGCCCAGCCATCCCCCCCAAAATATCCCAAATCAGAAAACACCCAGTGTTGTGAGGATGTGGAGAAACTGGAACTCTTGTATACTATTGGTACAGTTGTAAGTGGAAAACAGTAATTGAGCTTCCTCAAAGAGTTAAAAATAGAATTACCACATGATCCAGAAACTACTCCAGGTATGGACCAAAAAAACCTGAAAACAGAATCTAAAAAGAACCTTGGTCCACCTGTGTCCACAGAAGTGCTGCTCATAATATCCAAGAGTAGGAGAAATGTAAGAGTCTATGGATGGTCACAACAAAATAAAACAAGTGAAGTGTTGTATATACTCATAATGGGACATTATTCAGCCTTAGAGGAAGGAAGTCCCAACACATGCCACAGTGTGGATGAACCTTGAGGATGTTATGCTGAGTGAAGTAAGTCAGACACAAAAGGGATAAATACTGTATGATTTTACTTACATAAAAAGCATGGTGAGTAGTCCAACTCACGAGAGAGAAAGTAGAATACTGATTTCCCAGGCAAGAGGGTTTGGGGGAATGAGAGTTAGTATTTAATGAGTACAAAGTTTGTCTTAGGGCTTACAAGGGAAAGGATTTCACACAGGATGCATAATTTACAGGGTTATTTTACAATATTCCCTTGAAGGGTTAAATGCAAAAGAATGCAGGAACTCTGTCCACCCACTAAAGACCCAAAGAATCCAGCTGAGGGCCCGGATCCCAGAGCAATGTCTGGCATGAACCCAGCTCAAGACCTCAACTAGTCCCACTGGCGGCCTAGAGCCCATAACAAGGTCTCATGCAAGTCTATATCAAGGATCTACACTGGGAAGCCCCAAAGGTCAGTGGTGGAAGCCAAAAAGTGTCAGTAGGATGAAGGATCTGTGCTAGCAGGCTGAAGTATCTGCACTTGAGCCAGGAAACTGTTCTTCCAAAGAGAACTACAGTCATCCTCAGCAACAGGGAGGACCCAAGCTCCTCCAATGCTGAGAACAGCTGGGTTCATATCAAGAAAACTAGGGGACAAGCTTCTCCAAGAGCATCAACAGCACATCTGCCCCTCCAGCTCTCCTTTTAAGTTACTGGCAACAATACTTAGACGGGCCTTCCACACCCAGAACCACGCTGCTTCAGTTCATCTGGGTGTTATAATCTGACCATTAGTTAATCCACCACTGAGTTCCAGTTTGAAAAGACAAAAAAATGTTCTTAAGAAAGATGGTAGTGTCTTCACAGCAACGAGAATGTACCTTATTTTACTCAACTGCATATTTACACCTTGTTAAGATCGTAACCATTTAAATTAAATTTGTGAAAAATAAAGGACAAAACAAGGCCCATTGAGTGAGTCAGAAGAGACTGGAGAACACTAGTTTGTCATCCTCATCTCTGGGTCGGTCCTCTGGCGCAGAAGAGTTGACAGAAAGCAACCCAAGTCGGGACCAATTTCGTGGCACATAACCAGGGTCTGTGCTTGGAGGGCCCTGGTGAAATTGATACTGGGCTTTCATCATCTTAAAGTTTTAAATAAGGTCTGAATAAGGCATTCCATATTTGCATTTGCACTGAGACACAAATTATACAGTTAATTCTGCATATAATTCAAGAAGCACTAAATAAACCAAGTAGCATCTGTACACAAACAACTGCCTGAGGAACAACAGCTGTGCCTTCCTAAATATTCAGTAGATTTTTTTAACCAGTAAGGCAAGTAGTTTTTACCTCATTTCATGTCATTCTTTTATTATTAGATAAAAATTTATATATTTACAGGGAATCAAATGATGTTTTGGTACATGTACATGTAATGTTCAAATCTACTTCCTTTAATGATTACCATTTCCTTATGGTGAAAACATTCAAAATCCCTCCAGCTTTAGTAGCTCTCCGAATGTTCTTATTCCTACCTAAGTAACACTCAAGAGCCTGCTAACAAACTGTCCTTTTCCCTCCTCTTCCTTCAGCCTCTGGTAACTGCCATTCAGTTGACTTTTTTTTTTTTTTTCATACAGGGCTTCATATGGAGTTCAGGGCTCATAACATAGTGGTCCTCCTACCTCAGCCTCCCCAGTGCTGGGATTACAGCATGTGCCACCACGCTGGTTCCCAGGCCTGCCTGGTGCACCTGGGGTTCTGGGGATGGCACAGCATGTGGTACCAGGGATCAAACTTGGGACCTTGCACTTGCCAGGTAGGCATTTAGACAGCAGAGCTATCTCTCCAGCCCCCATTCTGTTGACTTCTATGAGATCAACTGCTCCAGATTCTACACAGGGTTAAGGTCATGCAATGCTTATCTTTCTGTGATGATTTTTTCTTGAAGACGTGGATGTCCTTCAGCCAAAAGCCAGTAGAAGCACACAGCAGAGGAAGACATCATATTTGCAAAGTCAGGGAGATGCACATGGCTCTCAGAAAGAGGGTCCCAGCCAGGCCTGTCACCAAACTTGGGCTCTGACTGAGACATAAACAGAAGGCCAAAAGAAGTGGGGCTTACTGTCTAATATGCTGTCAGAAATCAAGGTAACTGGAAAATTGAGTACCTCAATCTTCTGCAGATGGAAAGGAGACTAGTTGAAGACAAACCTGGAACCAAGAAAGGAGTGCTTGGGATTATAAGTCCCACGGTGACCTTGTTCCAGTCCATGCTTAGCCAGATTTATGACACTTGCCTCCTGTCATGGCAAAGAGGGACCTTGTCTGATGGTACCCTGCAAGACCACTTAGAGCCAACACCACGGCACAGCCAAGGGTACTCTGTTTTGGTTTTAGTTTCGTCTCTTCCTTAATGCTGTGCATTTATGCTTGCTTTGAGGTATAAGAGGGCTCACTGTCATTACTGAAAAAGGGATATGCTAAAGTATAAATGAGTTTATGTACTATCTTAAGCAAAAACAATCTTGGTGGAGATTATGAGTCCCCCACTAAGTGGGCAAGCAGTATCTCCTGCCTCAGGCATAGAAAGGGTCAAAGGCAATGTAGGTCAATGGGACTTGAACTCAATTGTTTAAGAGGAAAAGAAAGCATGAGATTTTTCTCATATGATTTATTTGGCAGCTCTGTAATATGTCAACTAAGGTTTGTGTGTGTGTGTGTATATGTATGTATGTATGTGTATAAGATATATAGATAGGGATTTATATCTTTACACATACACACTTTATTTTAAGAAAACATTATATAGTTTAGTCCCCTATGAAAAAATGCATTTTTAAGCATTGGGCTACAAAATCAAGTGTGATTTCCTGGTATTTGGGAAATAATAACAATTTTCATTAATTATAGCATTAATTTAACAATAATAAATAGTTGTAGAATACTACCACTTGCTAATCAATACCTCAAATGTATCTCATTAATCTTCATAATAAACTATGAAGTGGTCAGTGGTGTCACTTCTATTTTATAGAAAGGACTGCTACGTTATGCAGCCCATGTGCCAGTGGATTCTCCACGGTTACCAGTTTCCTCTCTCTATGTGCCTTCTCAACAGTGCACCAACAGGAAGGTTATGAAATAGGTGTTAATGGTTTTGGCACACATACACTTTAAAATGTTAAAGTGGCATGGGGGACTATAGTCAGTGGTACAGTACTTGCCTAGCATGTATGCAACCCTGTGCTCAATCTCCAACACCACAAAAATAAATAAAACAAATCAAAATCAAATAAATGATAGAAAATGGCTTATTTCAGATGATCAAAGGGATCAGAAGCCCTCCCCAGATGACATCATACACAAAAATAACTCATGGTGGGATACTGAATACCCCTGATCCATTCATTCATTCATTCATTCATCACTCAGTGCTGGGGATTTGTCACTTGCAGCAGAATATATCAAATTTGGGCCTTGTGCATGCCAAGCAAATGCTCTACCCCTGAGCCATACTTTCAGCTGCACACAGTGCCTCTAAATGTTCAAGCCTGGCAACCAGATGAGGAAGGATACCATTTATGGGAAAATAGGACAGAAGGGCCAAAATCCTCCAAAGTACCTGCTTCAAGCTTTGGTTGGCCAGCTGTGTAACTGTAAGTCTTTTTATGAATGCAGACCAAATGTTTGGCCTTTCTTCCAAAAGTTCTGAGTCAGAATAGGTGAGTAAAAGGGTACAAGATTCTCTTAGTGCTCGGCTTCTCCCAAGATTACCCCTATGGGGCAGAGAGGAAAGAGTCCTGTGGAGACAGGAAGCACTAGCAAAAAAGCAACCACAACTACTGGCCTCCTGAAGATCAGACTTGGGACGGTGAAGCTACAGCAGTGAGTGGGACTCAAGGCCCTTCCTTCCCTAAGCATGACATGGTAGACTGGAGACCAGTTTGGGCATAAGAGAAGAGAGATTGCTGGATGGCGACACACTCCAGGACCCTGATGAAGAGCATTCTGAGGGAACTCAGTGAAAGTTCAGAAGATCCAGACAGATCACCATATTCTCTTAGAGCTCAGCCAATCTATGTGCCATTCATTAAACTCAGCCATTTGGAAATCTTTTGTTCCAGTTACATTAATTCCAATTTTTTATTGAATATTTTGGATGAATTTCAGCCTTAAGCTTTGATAAAGACAGGAGACCTGGAAAATATAATACTATCAACTGAGATTTTTATTAACACTCATTAATTGTATATATTAACACTCATTAATTGTATATATTAATTGGGCACAGCAAGATAGCTCAGCAGATTAGGCAAGCATAGGGACCTGGGTTTGAACCCCCAGTACCACATGCTGCTCTGGCCCCACCCCTAACGCACGCTGAGCCAGCAACCAAGTCAAGGTGTGGTGGCGCAAGCCTGTAATCCCAGCACTGGGGAGGCTGAGAACAGGAGGATCACTATGAGTCTGAGCTA